AGTTGTCTGTTCTTGAGATATTTTTGACTGTAAAGCCTTCAAAATATTTCTCTTGTTCTCTAAAAACCTGCAAGTATTTTGCTAGCTTAGGATCTCTTGCCGTGTAATCTTTTTTGATGTGTCCAGCTATGACTTGTGAATCTATTTTGATTATTAGTCTTTGGATCCCCATTGCCCTCGCTTTTTGGAGTCCGAGTAGAATGGCTTTGTATCCAGCAATATTGTTGGTACATTAAAATTCAAGTCTTGCAGCGTATCTCATTTTAACCCCTGAAGGTGATGTGATTATTGCTGCTGCACAAGCCCCTGCGAAGCCCCATACTCCATCACAATATATTATCCAGTTTGGTTGCCTTTTCTCTTTGCTTTGATTTCGAGATGGAGTCCAATCTGCCCCAAAGTCTGCCAAGACTTGAGATTTTATTGATGTTCTTTTTTGAATTCAATGTAGTGTTGAGATAGTTCTGTTGCCCATTTTCCCAATCTTCCAGATGATCTGCAACTTTGCAAAACTTCTTTCAGAGGATAATTTGTTGGTACTCTAATTTTGTGAGCTTGAAAATAATGCTTCAATTTTCTTGCTACCGTTAAAACTACATAAGTTATTTTCTCAATCTCCGAGTAATAGATTTTTGAGCCAGACAAGGCTTCTGAAACAAAGTAGACTAGGACTTGTCTTTTTGTGTGTTCATTTTCCTATTTTTCAACTAAGACTGCTACTTTATGTTGTTGAAACATATAGGAGCAATTCAGCCCCTGGGGTTGGTGTGGCTAGAGTGTTTGGCTTTGACAAGTATATTTTTATTTCTTCGAATGTGTGTTGCTGCGAAGGTCCCCATCCAAAGTTTGTTTTTGTTCCTTTGAGTGCTTGAAATATTGGAAGCCTTCGCTCTGCTGATTTTGAGATAAATCTATTTAAGGACAAAGTCTTTTCTGTCCTATTAACTTTTGGACATCTTTTATATTTTTAGGAACTTTCATGTTGAGGATTGCTTGAACTTTGTCTGGGTTTGGGTCAATTCCTTTTGTTGATACAATGCAGCCTAAAATTTTTTCTTTCTGGACTCCAAAAGTGCACTTTTTAGGATTTAACTTTAAGTTTGCTTCCCGAAGATTTGCAAAAGTTTCTTGGAGGTCTTTGATGTGATCTTCTCTACGGACGCCCATCCCACGTCCACATGGCAGAACTCCGACCCACACCCACATGGTGGAACCGTGACCCGCACCCACCCATCGCCTCACGCCTCTGGATCTTGGCGCATGAGGTGTCTCTGAGCCTCGGCGCCCGCCAAAGACATGAACCACTAGTGGCGCCTCGGCAAACAACAGGGTGGACGATCGCCGCTTCAACACCGATCTACCTTTGAAACATCCAGATAAAATATTTGCAACATAAGTCCAAAACAGATGAAACACTTGAAACATGCATGTGTAGCCACTGCAACATGTGCAACACCAAGATCTATTTTTAAAACATTCAGATGATACATTTGAAACAAACGTCTGAAACACATGAAACAATTGAAATATAGGCGTGTAACATGTGTATATTGCGATTGCAACATATGCAACATCCAAGATCAATTTTTGCAACATTCAGATAAAACCCTTGAAACATAAGCCTGAAACACTTGAAACACCGCGTCAAAAACTACGGCCATGGCCTACCTGGTGGGGGACTGCAGTAGCCAGCAAGCTCGAGTCTAGGGGGAACGTTGAGAGCAAACGGCCTAGCGTGAGCAGGCCTCCTTTTCTTGTCGCAGTGTCTTCGGCCGGCCATGGGAGACGAAGTCCGGACCGCGCCAACCTTTCCTGGTGGCGCCGGGGTGGTGATGGCATGGTGCCCGCCATGGCCACGACGACCGAGATGGATGGGGGGCACTAGTGGATAGGGGCGAGCCGCGGGATGGTGGAGCGGCGCGGCAAGGGAAGGGTGCGGCATGCGCGGGGCGGGCGCGCGGTGGGGGAAGGGGCGCACGGGTCAGACGCCCGTGGCCAAGCATTAGCATAGATTTGAAATTATGTTGCTATACATTTAATACATAATTAGCTACTATCATAAAACAAACTGAATTAAATAGACACTCTATAATGTTATCGCATTTTTAAAGTAACGAGCATAAAGGAAAACACGTGGCCCTAACCACCGCCTCCCACAAGTGGTTCCCATGGTAAAAGTCCAATAGAAGCCTCCTGGGCTGGCCCAGCTCAGAGGAGCCGTGCGCTCGTGTTGGAGCATGATGGGTCGCCAGATATATTGCCGTGTCTCAACGACTCCTTTTTGTGCGTATGTGTCTAGACTAGAGGCTGGGCCAAATATATTGCCGTGTTGTGCAAGAAGACTATTTACTTTTTACTCATTTACGATATTGATTTTTTTTTAACAATTTGATCTGCCCCTGTTTACTCCACATAGTAGGCCTTCTTGCTGTGACCACACCTACAATATTTTTTCATGGCTCGTGTCCCTTCGGTTCGTCAAACTGACTGCTTTCATATGCCTTGAGTATTTCACTTCTGACGAATTGGCTAAGTGGCTAACCAATGAACTAACAATTTATATTGTTCTATTTCCCTTCCTAATATGCTACTTCATGAAACAATCAACAGCAAGGTGCCAGCCTGAAATCATCTCTACAAGATGACATTTCAAGACTAATATTGCTGTGCCATTGAGAAACTTTGATTTCTATCAGAAATTCTTCAATATCCCTTTATCAGAACTTGTTCAATTTCTAACCTTTCTTCTCTATATGCTCATAACAGGCGTGTATCTTAAAAGGTTTTATCATCACTATGCATCTTATAATCAACAAATATGGTACATATAGGCATGAAATAATATACTATATTTAGCGCAAATTGGAATTCTTCCTTGCGGCTGCAGCAACGCTGGCTAGTATGGAAACCCTTGCGCCTAGTAATGCAGCTTTCTCCTCATGGAACTCAAGCAACCAAATGTGTATATCAAGGTAAAACGCCAGCACACCTTTCGAGTTTAAACCACGAAAGACCAGGAATTGTATGCATATAATAAAGCATGAGTTTGGCCCAGCTACCCAACCAATTACATCTGGTTTCACACACGAGCCCCATATATTGCAACGACTCTGCTTATATATATACAATATTGGAACACATGGAGTAGAGTAGAGTAGATGTGGTGAAGCCCGACGGAATATATAGCCATGACTATTTATCTCTCAACAAACAACACAAGGAGAAATATTCAAGTTACGACCTTAAACACCAAACGATCCTTACAAGTTGTAATAAGGTAGATACACAACCAACACAGTAAAATATATGAAACCAGAGAACTAGAGGTTCCCGATGGCACCCCTTGTATTGCCATTATGTCATTGGGTCACTGCTTACTTTATTATGCAGGAACGACAATCAGAAGTCAGCAGATATCATCTGCTATTATCTGCTTGTCAGTTGACGAAAGGAAGCCAGCAGATACCGTCTACTATTATTCAGCTGCAACATTTCCACCACCGCGTCCAACAAGACCTATCAGCAGATAAACTTGTTTAGATGCTATCATAACTTCACAGGAAAGCGGGTACAAATTCATTGATTAGAGAAGCAAAATTAGCAATTGCATTTCACTTCAGCATAACAACTCATTAAAAGTTCAAGCAAGGTTTCATTCCTGCAACAAAACGTGACATGTATGATTTATCTATTCCCCTGATGTAATGAAATAGAAACTAGTAAATCATTCAGACCTGCTAAAGATAATACATTAGGATCTGCATAACCAGGAATAGAAAAAAATTATATATTTGTAATGAAAATAAATCTGTGCATCTTGGTGGAGAACAAGCACCTTGTCATTTTTTTCTATTAAACAGTGAGCAGCCTTCTGTGTTTTCTCAGCTAAATAATACAGAATAAAAACAGTTGTGCAACAGAGAACATCAGAACAATAGCCTAACACCTCAAAAATATACAAGCGAGGCACCACAAAAGGGAAGAAACTGGGAATATTAAACACTACAGCAACAAATATTTTCTTCCTAACCACATATTTTCCCTCAATATAAGATAACAGAAACTAACTTAAAACTGAAAAGACTCAAGCAATCTTAAACGCTGATCACAGTTGGCACTGATTTATCATCAACAACTATAACCTATCAATTGTATAAGCGCTCATATAAGTCTAACTGGGATTAAAACAAGATGGCCCATCATTAACATGATTCATTAACACAAAATAAAATAATCTGACAAAAGAATAAACAATTATATCTTTCTTCTCTTGGATACAATAGTCAAAATCATTCTTTCCAGCATTGAAACATATATACTAGGAACAAGAATAGAACTGTTACGTTCTCAATGGTCACATAGATCCAGTATCGCTAAATTCATAATATCTCCGCCTATTTTTTATGTATACAACACATGCAAGTATCCTCTATTTTTTTACAAGGAATATTTCATTTTGATAGGACAACGCTTTGACTGAAAATTACTCCATTAATATATTAATTTATGTGATACAAAATTATAACCATGATACAGTATTTTTAATACGGATTCAACAACATCAATCTTGGGTCACAAAATCTATGTATTAATAGAGTATAATTGCTGGTCAAAGGCATGTCCTAACAAAACATAGTAAGCCTTGTAATTTTAAACGGAGTTAGTGGAAATTAGGAATTCAATCAGTACTGAAGACCATGTCAATGACCCATGTGCAAAACAACCAATATTTAAAGACAAGGGAGTATTAAACTATTAATCACAAACTACAAATAACAAACCTGAAACCTCTATGTTCAAAACAAGGACACATTCTAGGAAATATAGGTAAATTCCAATCTATTGATCCATGAAACACAACATATTTCAATAAAATATTCTAGTGCAGCTACCCAGTTCAAAGGTTACAGATAGCGAAGTTTACTAATACAAATTTCATAGAAAAACTCATGAAGGTGCATCAAGATGAAACAGAAAACAGGGCATAGGGTGATGTCAAATCATATGATGTAAGCACCTGCAATGCGAAAACCTGTGTAGGGATAAACAGTTGCAGAGACATCAGCCTCAAACACTTTTTTGAACTTCATTGACTTGAGATGAACCGCAAAAACCCCACTTATTGTCCATAAGAAAACCAAATCATCATCCTCAACAAGACCCAATATCCTGACAGGAGGCCTTCCACATGAACCATTATCCGGTGAGGGCAGAGACGATACATCCAACGGCAGGAATCTATCCAACTCAATGATCCTGCGCAGTACCCATCCTGTAACACCCTCAGCATCAGTTTCCCATGCCCATAGGCACAGGTTAAATTTTGCCAGAGCAGCAAGACCTAGACCACCATCCTCTGTTTTCATGATGTGGACATTCCTCCTGTATATATCATGTGTCTTTGGTGGACACTCAATATGATATAACCTATGTGTGACCAACTCAAATGCAAGGATATGCTTTGACTTCAACGGCCAATACAAGATATTCCTGACAAGGATGCTAGGCCTGAAATCAACATCAGATGGTATTGGTGAAGATTCCATCATCTCCCACCTGCCACTTTCTGATGAGTATCTAGTGGCATAAGCATAGCGGGTGCTGGTGAAAACCCATACTACAAAAAATGGACAAGAGTGGCAGTAACCATGGTCAGCATGGTTTGCTGCGCAAACCACAGCAGCATTGCTTTCAGGCACATTCCCATAATTAAAACGAGGATCCACATCAGATGGGGCTTGTATTAAGCGCTTGTGGCCGTTTATAGGGTTCCACACAAAGACCTGATGCCATGTTGAATCAACAAGGAGGACATGGCCCGTGGCGGCAGCCAAGGACATTCCAGTAAAGATCAGGTAGAGAGAAAGATGCTGCAGCAACACGGTTAGGAGGATCCCCAGCAGGGAGAAATCGAGGGATGCGAGTGGAGTTGGTGAAGACACCAAGTAAAGGTAATCCATGGAGTGCCTGAAAGCGATGGAGGAACCGATTGTCGACGATGAGGGAGTGCCAATGCTTGCATACAAGGGAAGAACGAAGGAGGTAGGAGGGGTGTGGAGGGAGGAAGAGAAAGATGCTGATGAGCAAATCATCTGGTAGCGTCATGATGATGCAGGAAAGGGCAGTGCGGCTTTCCTCAAAAGGAAAGCCTAGGAGACAGATAACATTTTCTTCACTGCTAACAAGACGCAATGCCAATGCTGATATGAAGTTGACAACACCTGTTGCAAGATGAACCAAGGAACCAAGATGGTTCACCACCTTCCCTTGACTTCAAAGTTCAAAATCAAGGTGATTAAATTGGCAGCAGTAGGCAGAGATAGTATAGAGAGGTTTGACTATTCCACCTATTCTTGGAGCTTTGATATATCTTGACTCAATTTCCATTGATCCACAAACACAAAAACAGTCTCTTCAGCCTCTTCATCAACTAATGGTACCACTTTCTTGATGAAAGTCGACCTGCACATAGATAAATTCTGCAATTGTTACTGAGTAGGTACCAAAAGTGCTTAATGCAAAATCGACAAAGATACAGACCCATTTTTTAGGCAACGCTCGACCCCACTTCCATTAACCGGGAACAGAAATATATATGTTACCCAGAAACAGAACAGAACTAGCACAACACTACCCTTAACAAACTATGGCTAAACTATCTGCTTCTGGTAGAAATATTTGGCTAATGCAACTTATCAACCTTTTGAACAGTAGCGATGGACCCACAGTCTGAGCCCAGGTACAAACCTAGTTGACTAACGCAACTTAAGAACCCTTTCAACAGTAGCAAAGAACCTACAGTCTGAGCCAACAACTCGTTTTTTACCAGCTACTACACAGTCTTGCCTTTTGGCTATTGTGAACCACAGAACCGAACAGAGAGAGGGAGGGAGGGAGCGAGAGAGTTGAATGTAAAAAACGGAGATGAGGTGTGGAATGCAAAAAGTCATGCCCACAGGACATGCAGGATGGCAGCGTCTGTTCTCTGTTCCTTATTTTGCATGTATGTAGGGTTAGGCTAGCTAGTGATCTACTTATTTTTTTAATTAATTATTACTAGTAATATTTAAAAAAATAATAAAACAAGGGATACAGTATCCTTTAGGCTATGTTATTTATTTGCAGTGGAATATGGACATGATACTGTTTGAGTTCACTTCCTTGCTACCAATTACTGGCCATCTCTGGCAGTGTCTCTATCGTCAGATTAACTTCCAAAACCCCCTCTCGCTAACCTAGTTTTCTTTGATTAATATGAGTACTTACTACTTAGTTATTCATTCAAAGTTTTTTATTAGTATAGCTATATCTTTAGATCGATCCATGTGCCTTTATCTTAGATCAGTCGTTTCAATTTACCAACCAGGAATGGCGATGGGTTTAGATCAAGTATCATCCCCAAACATATATCTATTTCAACACTACCTGGATAATACAAGGCATAACAACTAAGGGGCTGTTTGGTTCCCGGCCTTCGTTCGCCACGCCACGGATACACTCGCCACAGAAAATCAGCCGCTGTTTGCTTTCCACGTAAGGTGAGGCTCGCCACAGAAATAGCAGTTCATTTGCGTCAGCTTTTTTGCCACAGGTGCGGCGAGCTTTTCCTCCACCACAATAGTGTGGCGCGCCACAGCCTGGCGTGGCTTCCAACGGCGGGCAACCAAGCAGGCCCTAAGTTCTTCTCCCCTCCATACCTTTCTAACGTTGGATCAACATTCTTTACATTCGCTATTTGGCCAAGCTTACAATTACACACAGTGGTAGAGTTGGTGAATTTGCACACCTAGGGAATCATGCAACACGGATACATGTATTGGTATCGGAAGGATATGGATACATGGATACATTAAATTAGGTAAATAACCAGGTATGTTGAACTTCTAAAAGCAATAGCAGCCTACTAGTGTGTAGGAATCCTGAAATTACATAGTATTTTAGCAAAGAATAGAATGAAATGACAATGACTGACCATTTTCTTGCACTGCATATCACCAGAGCAAATTATTATTGCAATTAAAGCATCCAAGTATTTGCGGTCTTCCAATATATTGAAGCTTTTCCAATGCAGAAATCCTCTAATCACTCGCGCTGGCTCGATACGGCCCTCTTACTCACGGCTGGGAAAAATCAAGACAAACCAGGAGGGAAATGGAAAAATCAGGAGGGGAAGACACTGGATACGTGGATCAGTACGGAAATGAACAAATCAATCAAGAGAGGGGACAGATCGATTGGAAGAAACCCATTTCTGCTCGTACTTGCCGGGGTGGGGGGGGGTGGAGCTCGTCGCGGACTCGCTGGCAGGCGGGTCGTACTCGCCGGCGTCGGGCGGATCGTGGCGGCCGGGCGTCGAGTGGGGGGCACTGGGATCTGGGGCACGAGGGAAAGGGACACACTCACACGCGCATGGGTGAGGGAAAGGCTGCTGCTTGCGGCTTGCCAGCTTGAGTGGGCTAGGCCGCCGCATCGAAAGGCCTTGTAGTACCCATTGCCTGCTTGAGTGGGCTGGGTCGGGATACAGGCCGATACTTTGTTTATTTCGAATCTACTACCATTCTACCATATTCCCGTATTCCTGGTTTTTATACCAAATAAATTCGGCACCTCAGCTGCCCACGTCATTACTTCAAAGGAACCGTCCTATCTACGAGCAATCTATCGTATTCCTTAGTTTTTCATATCAAATTCGACGCCTGGGCTCGCCACCTCACAGAAACCGTCCAAATGTTGTTCGCTTGAACTTATCAGTCAGACTTATCTGTCATAATATAGTATTTTTTTTCTCACAACAAATCAGCATCAACCGGCTTATTAGCCGCAGAAATCATCAGCCGAACAGCCCAAACAATCCAGCTTATCCTTCAAAAAAAGTGTCTGGAAGCCTCTCGAAGTGTCTCAATGATATGCGCGTTTGGTTGTTCACGAGTGAAAAAGGTTTCCGTCCAGCAGCCCCCTCTAGAGCTGTGCACTTTTCCAGTTCCCCTCTCCGACTTCCATGCTGCAACAGGACCTCTACCTCATCTATGCATTAGTCCTCTCACTTGATGCGGTGTTGCGCCCTCTGCCTCCATATGCTTGCGCTATGCTATTGCCACCAGATCTAGTACCCCCAACAAACACGATTTAATCCGAGGTTCGATCACACCACAAAGGTGTACCTACGTTGCCGATGTTGAGGAGACCACAAAGGTCTAGAGTCTCTTCCACCCTCTTTGCCAAAGCAACCACAAAGGTCCACTCGGCACAAATTCACCACAAAAGATGATTAATACAAACTTCCCGGTGCTCACCACAGATCGGAGCTCCCGAACTACACCTAGCCATCTAGGATTTGCAATGAATCAAAATCCAAGAGTAACAAATTCAAATCAAAGAACTGACAAGGTCACAAGTGCTCAAAGATCTAGAAAATGGAGTTCACAAGCTTTCTCACACATCCCTCAACCAATTCTTTTCACCAATCGAGGAGTCAATCACTAGATGCACAAAGAGAGGGAGAAAGGGGGGCTTGAGATGAGAGCATATAGTGTTCTTGGTGTGTGTTAGGTGGTGGTGGTGGTGTAAGAGCTATGAGGTGAGAGGGTGGAGAGGAATATATACTCCCCACACAATTCTAGCCGTTATTGTGTATTCTGGTTAAGTATTGGAAATTTCGATACTTAAAAGCATTTTGAAGCTGTGTACAGTGCTTCGTGTGAGAAGTCAACAAAACTTCGAAAATTCCGACCAAGGTCCAGAATTTTCGACCTAAAAACTTCAAATAGGCCAGTGAACCCTTGATGGGAAATTTCCTCAGGAATTCAGACCGTGCTCGGAATTTTTTTAAGCTCTAAGTTAGCAGCATGTTAAGTCCGAGTTTTGGTTAGTGACCAAAGAGCACTTAACACCTACAAAGACATTAGATTTCAATCCCCCTTAATAGTACAGTTATCTGTTACTCAAATTCAAAATCAATGGAATTTAGAATAAATAGAAGAAGCTTCCAAATATATTCGTTGGCGTTTTTGTTTAATTCAAAGATTGGAGTTTGGGGTCTCCAATATTCAATGGCACTTTTTACCTGTCTATATTCTAGATAGATGTCCTTTGTTTGCCTTATTATCATTGTATCACCAAAACTCAGATTTGATGCCTCTTTAGTAGGTGCCAATCATGAAGATTCTTAGCTCTGTTGCCACGACACATTAGCGGTGCCCTCCCCCATGCGTGGTTGGGCTTGCTCGATGCAAGCCCTAACGCCATGGGATCTGGCTCTACATGTTTCACCTTGACTCCTGCTAGGCAGGATGATTGTTTGGTAATTGCATCTCTGCATGTGCAATTTAGTTTATGCTTCTTTCTCTGGGTAGGTTTTTTTTTTTTTTCCAAATTTCTCTAAATTTGATCTTTTCGTTCTTTTTCTTTTGTTCTGCACGTGTCTTCCAATCCATCTTCAACTCTCGGCTCCCTCAAGGATAGTTAATGTAAGTGTGGTAATATACTTTTCTGTAGTTTGATTTCTCATTTTCTCGGTACGAATTGGGTTTCCAAAAATTATCAGTTACTTGCGGATGAATACTTATAGACAACTAAATTGAATAGAATATCTGAATCTAAATTTGAAGTTGAACTATCCGTTTTGTATTCACCTTCGGGAGTATGGGAATTCAGGACTATGCATTTTGTATTCACATATGAAAAAATTCGAATTTATATGTGATATATAAGATGCTACTGTATTTGGATTTGCCTTCGATCCATTTTCACCACTACCTAAAAGCTAAACCCCCTTTTTTTTGTTGATTGATGTCTACCTAAAACCCTTTTTCTTTCCACATTTGGCCATTTGGGCAAATTCCCTGTGGTCGAAGAAGCGATCAGGAGGCGGCCAGCACCGTACAAGTTGTGGATAGCACGGTTTCCCCTTCTGGCACGCGTGGCGTGGCCACACCGTTACACCGAGTGGCCAGCATTTACTCCCACTCGGCCACTCCTCCTCGCCCGCCGCGGTAGCCATGGCTACGTCACGCGTGCTCCGCCGCTCCTCCGCTCCGGACCACACAAAGACAGAGGGAGAGAGAGAGAGAGCCGAGAAAGGAACGACGAAAAAAAAGCGCCGCGAGCCAGCCAGCCGGCCGCGCGACTCGGCACTGAGGACAGGGGAAGAGGGCGAGGTCGTCCGCCGCCGGTGCTCTAGTCAGCGACCGTCGAGCAGCACGCAAGGTGAGAGTTCCGTCTGCTGCTCCGTTCCCTTCACCGGCCGTCGTTGCTTTGCTTCCCCCGCGCGTGAGGCGTGAACCCCTCACGCTGCGTCCACTTCCAATGGCCGCTGCAGTCCAGGAGCGCGATGCCGCCGCCGCCGCTCGCGCCCGTGACGCCCTGGAACGCGCGGCTGTGGTTGGCCCTGATTCTATTTGCCAAACCCTAGGACAATCCTTGCCTTATATATGCTTGTACTGTTGCGTCTCCATAATCTTACAATTCCTAGGCTATTCCATTGCCTTACCTCAGCGAGCAGATCAATGGAACTCTTTCTCTTTTTTTTTTCAATTTAAAATTTAGAAATACTGCTCCATATTGGTCGGATTATTAAAGCTTGCTGATGCAGGTTGCCATCTTATCCAGATATCAACATTTGAAGCTAAAAAATGGAGCTCTGTACATCTTGTATCTGGACTTCAGCACAGTGGTCTCACACAATGACGACCAACCGACGAGCCGCATACCATGGATTTGCAAATTCAAGTTTCTCAGCGCCCCAAAGGAGAAGGCGAGCAGCGCTCTATGTCATGAATGCCGCATCGACCGGTGCTCCAATATCATCTCAAAACATAACCCAACTTCCACGCACCAACGGCGCAGCTATCAAAAGTATATCCAGCGACAAACCCAGCAGTGCAATGGAGCAACTTGATATTGAACGTGGTGTCTGTATTCCGTTCCGAAAGTACAGTCCAGAAATGGTACTGGAATCTGCATTCTTTTATGTTTATAGAATTGGTTTGGTTAAAAATTGTTTCAACTGTGTTCATTTTTCTACAATTGCTAGGTCAGGAAAAGAGTCTTGGATTCAAGAGGTTCCATACTGTCCCTTGCGAGTCGGGGAGTGGAGATAGTTTGGAAACTTGGATTTTACTGGTCATCTCTTGTGTATGACTTTTTGGTTGGACGGGATGAAGAAATTGTTCCATATCGTGCCCGGCAGCTCCGTAATCTTTTATGTGATCTGGGCCCATCTTTCATAAAAGCTGGACAGGTCATAACATTTAATCTTCATTATAAAGGATACATCTGATTGTACAATTCGAATTCATTGAACATATATCTTTACAATTGTCCTAACTTTCTTTGGTTCTGTTCTTCAGGTTCTAGCCAACAGGCCTGATATTATTCGAGAGGATTATATGAATGAACTTTGCATCTTGCAAGATGATGTCCCTCCAGTCCCTAACCAGGTATCGTCTTACAACAGAAAGTACCTGCAAATAGCTCTTTAGGATTTCACATATTAGAGTTTGCACAGATGAAAGCAGGGTGATTAACCAAGTTTTGTTTTGTTGCTGAATACTTGGTAGGTGGCTTTTACCATAATTGAGGAGGAACTTGGCCAACCTCTAGAGAGATTGTTCAGCAAAATTTCATCAGAGACAATAGCAGCTGCTAGTTTGGGCCAAGTTTACCGTGCCACACTTAGAGAAACTGGCGAGGATGTCGCTATTAAGGTTCCTATATTTACTTTGTTTCTGTTATCTGTACTTCCTTATTATTACATTTATTTACTCATTTTCTAACTAGATGCATTGTTTTTTCTAATTATGGTCCTTAAACAAGGATGGATATAAATATATTCTGTAACCTTTGATGATCATATTCTTTGTACAAATTGTGCTCTGGAAGTCATACTTTTCTTTTTGGTTTATGTCATTGACAATTTCAGGTTCAGAGACCAGGAATTGAACCAATAATATACCGAGATCTTTTCCTGTTCCGCACTTTGGCTTCATTTTTGAATGGGATTAGTCTTCAGAAACTAGGGTGTAATGCGGAGCTTATTGTTGATGAATTTGGTGAGAAACTTTTGGAAGAACTTGATTACACTCTTGTAAGTATTTTCTCAGCCTTTGTACTGTTGTCAATTTTAACGAAATAGAATTAGCTATTACAGACTTACAGTTCACATGTTCTTAACATAGAGTGCAATGATTATGTTTCAACAACGATTCCTTTATATTTCTCTCTTTCATAAGTGTATAGAATGCTGCTGATTTTAGTTCCTGTTTGCAATATTTTAGGAAGCTACAAATATCGAGGACTTCCTAGAAAATTTTAAGGATGATCCGACTGTCAAGATACCTCGAGTGTATAAGCAGCTTTCAGGTTCCCGTGTTCTGGTGATGGAGTGGATAGATGGAATTAGATGTACGGATCCACAGGTTTGACCATTCATATCATTGTTTATATTTCAATGGTGCAATAGTTCATTGTGATTCTGTAGCAGCATTGATTTCAAATTCACTCATGCAGGCTATAAAAGAAGCTGGAATTGATGTGGAAGGTTTTCTCACAGTTGGAGTGAGTGCTGCTTTGCGTCAGTTACTTGAATTTGGTCTTTTCCATGGAGATCCACATCCTGGAAATATTTTTGCAATGCGTGATGGTCGTATTGCTTATGTCGACTTTGGAAATGTGGCCGTTCTTAGCCAGGTCTGTAAAATGCACTTTTGTAGTGGTAGAATTCTTGGCACTTACAGTTTATTACATTTTCATTGCTGCTTTCCTGTCTATATATACATTTTGTGCTTGTAGTCCTGCAGCCTGCAGCAAAATCTGTTATTCCCTCCGGGTTGTGAACCCATGTTTGCACTGTTTCGTATTTGCATATTATATAAGGAAACAGAAGTTGTTAACATGTTATTTCATTGTTTGTTCCTTGTGCAGCAAAACAAACAAATTCTAATTGATGCTGTTGTTCATGCTGTTAACGAAGACTATGCTGAAATGGCAAATGACTTCACTAGGCTGGGTTTCCTTGCTAGTGGAACAGATGTAGCCCCAATTATTCCAGCTCTGGAATCCATTTGGCAAAACTCAGCTGGAAAAGGCTTGGCGGACTTCAATTTCCGGAGTGTGACTGGTAATATTGATTTGCATATCATTGTTTTATTTTACTGTACACAAATTGTCATATTCTGAATTTGCTGTCATGTTATTTGTTTAGCAGTTGGTCATATGAGTTGTGAAAATTATTATTTTACCGCATTTCAGCATGTTTGCTTATCCATGCAGCCATGCTTAGTGCGTGCATTTTTTTTTTCTTTTTTCAATTTTAATGAGAAATGCTTAGTGCAACATGTTATATATTAGATGTCTTCAAAAAGAATAAATTACATCCATCATACAACAACTTGTATGGTTGTATCACTCTAATCCACCAACTTGCAAAATGTGCAAATGAATACATCAGCTTATCATATGTGTGCATATACGGTCACATATAACTACCAAGTGTATTTAGGCAGGCCACGTGTAGCTAGTACGATTTGTATGAGACAGAGGCCCAAAATGCAAAATTGCATTACTTTGACGAAAATGTTCCTATAGCATTCCTTTGACAATGATGCTGATCGCTGCTGCTGACTTGTGCTGCATCCCTGCTAATCTTTTTCAAATAACGCCTAAGTTGAAGACATGATTGTTCTTATTGTCTCATTGTCAGTTCACTTCATTTGCAAGTTGCAATGAGGCCGGTGAATAAATAGATTAATCATGTTTCTCTCCCACGTAATTAAACACATAAAATAAATGGAGGGAAGTGATTGCATCATTTATTTTGCAAATTCTAGAATCAATTCATCCAAGTCCTGTCCAAGCAAGGATCATGAGGAGATGATGCGAGTAAAAATATATCAAGAACATCTAGATAGCATAAAGAAATATATTGAATTGAACTTAATAATTCAAAATAGAAGTGTAATAATTCTTCAAGAATAATAGTAAATTAGAATGTTGTAATAATAGGATATAAGTGTATAATAATAAGGAGCAATATATGTAGGCAAAGCCTTTGTGCTGGTCGCGTGTGTGCGATTAATGCACAAGCACAACACGCAGCCCCCCTCGTAGGGGTTGTGTGTTCTCCAGCTGTAAAAGGGGCTTCAAGGAGGCTGATGGATGGCAGTGGTGGCAGTAGAGACGGTGGGCGTGACGTCGCCCGCTGGACGGTGGAAGAAGCTGGTTAGGCGGTGCCGGCAGTGGGGGAATTGACCGGTGAAGAAGAAAAAGGGATTGGGATTAGTGATGGCCGTGGCGGAGGTGGCGGTGCGTGACGGAAGCCAGTGGGATGCGGTGAAGGTAGGGGAACTCTTGCCTCTCTGGAGAAGCCTCCCTGAATTTAGGGAAGGTGGTGGTGGAGGGTGGCAGTAGAGGCGGCATGGGCTGCACCGAAGCCAGATGCTGAGGGGCGCAGCAGTGGGAGAGCACACGAGGCTGAAGATACAGGGGAATACGAGGAGGCGGGTGAAGAAGGGTTGGCCTTACGTATTAGAGGCTAATCATACGGCTGGTCCTGTGTTATGTAATAATGTGGAATTATTCTTGAGCTTCATGCTCACTGGGTATGTCATGCGAATCTCCTTGGCAACTAGATTGGGTAGCTATGGTTCCATCATAGTTATCATCAGAGAGGTTAGTGCCAAGTTCTATGCGATCGCCTGCCTCTCTCTGTAAGCAATGTGATATATATAACCGCTGATCACCCTGCTCCAATGCAATGGTTCAGATTCCATTTCATGCACGATCAAAACGATATCTAAACTTCAGAAAAAAACAATGAATGTGGGTTTATGTGCATAAAGCCAATTTATGTTCCATGCCATATTGCCAACTTATCACAGATGCTCCTTTGTGTGTATTTGGACCGTATATGATTGTAAATGACTGGTTGATGCATCTGTTTGCACATTTTGCAAGCTATTGGACTAAAATGGTACAACCATACAAGTTGTTGTATGGTGAATGCAATTTACTCCTTTAAAAAATATCTGAGGGAAGATATACTTCATTATCTAATCAAAATCAAAATCACAGGGAAGTTCAATCAGCTTGTGTACAACTATCCAATCCGCATCCCAGAAAGGTTTTCTTTGGTTATTCGTTCATTGTTGACGCAAGAAGGAATCTGCTTTACACTAAAGCGTGATTTTAAGTTTCTTGAGGTATGGCATATTGGCATGTGCTACCATTTGAGCTCCAAACAAAACATCAATGAACATTCTTTGGTTACTAACATCCTTCTTGTATGTTTCTTCATATTTAGGTTGCCTATCCATATATAGCAAAGCGTCTGTTGACAGATCCAAACCCTGCTCTCCGTGAACGCCTGATTCAGGTAACTTGTTTAATTGACATAACTGGAAGGACTATGTGAACCAAATTCTCAATTTAAGCATCGGTACTGGAAAAGAAAATGAAACTTTATGCTGTGAAAATGGAAAGTTTCAAATGCATGTTCAAGTGCATTATTACAAATGTTTATACCATGTTATAGTTTTTAGCACTTTCCTCATTTCCCCCCTGTGCAGGTGCTATTCAAAGATGGGGCATTCCAGTGGAAACGACTAGAAAACCTTATAGTTCTTGCCAAGGAGAATGTGTCCAAGATGAGCAGCAACCCCGCACTGAAAAAGAATAGCTCGTGAGTATTGGAACCACTGTCTTTCTTTTCTGTGTGTTATTTGTCCTAGAAGCTTCTGATCCAGTGAACTGTCAGGCAAGCTGTAAGAAATCGACAATTGGAGAGCAAACTTGATCTCACTGAAACAATAAAAGATGGAGCACGGATGTTCCTTATCGATGCTGGTATCAGGAGACAACTTATACTGGCCTTCACTGAAGACTCCAAATTGCACGTAGAAGAGGTACTCTGTCCGATCTTCCTGTAAATGGTGGATGTTCCTGTAAATATATTTGATTGAGTGCTCAATGGATGACTGTAATTCGTTTCCTCTTTCGCAGCTTGTGGATGTATACAGACTGGTCGAAGATCAAATAGATATGCCTTCAGTTGCCCTTGAGGTTCTTCAAGGTAAGTTGATGAAATATTCAGATTCTGCTTACTTATTCCTGTGATATTGAAAGGCATTCTCTATGGTCTAAGTGTGATAAATTTACTTATGTTTTTTATGCAGATTTACCATCTGTTGCACGTGATTTCATGCTTTCCTGGTGTGATTCCATCCTGTCAGATCGCCAGTACTAATGACCTATTACTTCTAGAAGAGTAAGCAAACAGATTGAATAGGGCCCTTCATGGTTATGGTACCTCGATATAATCTACAAGAAAAATGGCTAGACAAGAATTCCTCCTCGCTGTATACAGTTTGTTTTTTGTTTTGATTTTTGTATAGCAAAATATGCAATGTGCAGGTTTTTTTTTCTTTTCTTGATCTTGTCAATTTTTCTGCACATGCCATTTGTATAGTATAGCGCAAGGGATCTTGTATATAAAAAAATGAGCTCGTGATTCGAATCTAATAGAAATACAGATGTACACATTTTTTTTTTGGATAAGGAGCACATATATGTATTAAAATTAGCAACATTTTACATGGAGGAGATCAAGTTGATCCCAGGAAACAAAGTGAAGTGCTTCCTTGACAGGACAGTAGTTTCCATGAGAAGCACTGGTACATACAAACTGAGTATGCAACTTTATGGCCTGTGAGACGAGAGAATGTGCTGTGAGGTTTTGTGCTCTTGGAATCTTGAACATATGATGATCAATGTTTATGTTGCTGTCAGCGAAGAGAGTTAGCAGAGGTTTAAGACGCCAATCTTGGTGAGAGCTGGGCATGGTCCTCTGCAACAGCTTCACTAAGATCTCATTATCAGAGAAGTAATTGACTTGGCCAATATGTAGAAGCCGAACAACTTTGGCCGCCAGGGATAGAGCAGTTGCTTCAGCCATCAGGACTGAACTAACTGCGGGAGATTTGGCTTTGATGTATATTGCAAGAGGCTGCATGGAGTTGGAGTTGAAGATGAATATTCCCAAACCAGTGGGTCTCATTGCACCTGAAGTATCATCTGGGGACAAAGCTGCATCAGTGTAGCATCTGGGGCCTGTCAGAAGCGGAGTAGGAGCACTGTAGTTGAGTACTTGTTCATCTAGCGAAGTTTGTGGAGCAAAGCTTTATTGTTCTTCATCTGCAAAGAAAGATAGAACTGCTGATTGCAGGTCAGCCTTAGCTTCGTAGTGGGCTTTGGCTATGGTCCATTTCTTATGATTAAACCCGTGGTCATTTCTTGCTTTCCAAATATACCAAAGGTTGGTAAAGATTTTGTGTATCGAGTCATCGTTAACTCCTCGAGGAAGGATGTGAGAGATGGATTCCTGAACAGCATCGTCCTCATTCGGGAGCTGGTCCGAACGAAGCGGGGGATCTGCACTAAACCAAAAAAAGCTCTTGTGAAATCCATCTTACCGCATAATTGGCAATTTTGGTTAACGTGCTTTGTGAAGCGCCCGGGCATGGAACCAGTTGCCAAGGCTTGCCTAAGTAGTCTCCAGGAGAATGTCTTTATGCGTGGAGGTATGGTTTTGTATCGCCAGATGCGCTTGAAAAGGTCTGTGACGTGATTCTTCTTGCTCCATGGGAGGGAATGGGTGTGGTAACCTGTTGGTTTAGGATTTCGAAAGCCTCTTTGGTGGTGCAATCGCCTGAAGTCGCCGGTTTCCATCGCAAGAGGTCTGGTTCCTGCGAATGGACAATGGGGACCTGCAAAATTCTTTGAGCCATGGTTGTGTCCAAGATGTCAAAACAAGAGATGCATTCCATTGGGGTGAGAGAGGGTGACAAAGGTCAGCCACTGTGTACACAGTTAGCATTCCAATCAAATATTTGCAGAAGCATCAAAGGCTTGTGCAGCGTGTCGATCGATGGCACATGATTGTACCGAGGAAATGGTTACTTCGGAACAAAAATTTCTTTACCTTTTCTCCATTATTGCGTTCTGTCCATGTTAATTCCACGAGTAATGATCCAGTCACAAATTGAAGTCCAGGCCTTTTGATTTAGTGGTAGTTCCTGGGTTTGATAAAAGTGATTAGAGGGGAAAACTTCTGGTCGTAATCACAACGGGGATGTAGCTCAAATGGTAGAGCGCTCGCTTTGCATGCGAGAGGCACGGGGTTCGATCCCCCGCATCTCCATTGCTTTTCTCTTTTTTTCTTTCATCTCTTCGCTCTGCAGACCGTTGGCTGCGATTCCATCGCTTCCCCAGTTTTCCTGGGCATCCGCGGGGCTATCGTATCCACCGGCATCGTTTTTCTTTGCCTCCCTGTGCGATTGACACGAATCATTATTTTTTCTTTTTTTTTTAAAAAAAAACGCAACTCGTAGAGCTCTGACTTCCAACAAAAATAAAAGAAGTTACAGTTTATAAGAAAAATCAGGTCTGAAAACCTTTACATTTTCTTAATTAACTAAAGAAAAACCAACAAAAACTCTAATATTGATAGTACCCTGAAACGACCAACCCAAATTAACGCACAACCCACACTGAGCTCAAAAACCTAGCTGAACAACTTCGATTTCTAGCGACGGGTGGCCCAAGGCTCAAAGTTACAACACATACCTACAAGAAAACTAACACTGTCCTAAAGAGCTTACTGAAAGCAATCAATGTTGAGCTATGCCGAACCCGGCCAGCTTCGACTTCGCCATGGCACAATCTTACAAGCAAGTAGCGTCCCTGCGTGGTGTGGGGCAACACCAAAAGTAGAGCCTAATAGAAAATAAACAAGAGTGCCAAGCGGTGACCAATGGATAAGATCTCTGAAATGATACCGCAAGGAAGGATGTAGCGCCAGAAGCGCCACCATTGCCCGTATAGGGAATCTGAATAGGGCATTCACCAGAGAGTCCTACAAAGTGGGAGTGAGGGCTCCTCAATGACGCTCCCAATGGGGAGAGAAACGCCCATGAGTGTCATCGTCAGGGCTCCGGTCACATCGGCCAAGCTTTAAGTCCAGAGCCATCCATCCACACAAGCGTCAAGGTGTGGCACGCCAAAAGGATGTCAAACCATGATGCTACACACGGCCATAGCCTGCCAACACCACGATGCATACAATAAATGGCGAAGACAGGGGGCTGGAGGAGGGTCGTCCCCTAACTTTAGTACTTTTCTATTACAACCTTTAATGATCTCGCTAAACTATTATGTAATTAAAAGGTAAATGACCCCTATTAACATTTGGCCATCCTAAATACAAATCCTGGCTTTGACTGGTGGGGCCTCCTGGGATTAAGAAAAAAAATTGCTATTTTTTGGCCTAAATTCGTGATTTTTGGAAAACGGATTTGTATGGACGGTTTTATATCCAGCCGTTCCTACAAAACCGATTTGTAGGACGACTGGCCAACCGTCCCTGTAAATCGAGGATTTGTAGCGACCCTTGCGTAGGGGCGGCTGGCCCAACCTCGCCTATGAAGTGTCACCGACCGCCTTAAAAAAAGGCTGCTGTAGTAGTAAGCCACGTTCATCCATCAGTCGTGCCACACGATAGAAGCTAGGTTGGTGGTCTCGGCAACTTAAACGCATCGGCTGGAGATATGCTATGCTACCTCTGTCACACTCCTGTGTTGTGTCGCCGAAAAGTTTTGGGTGTCACTGTCACACTCCGAGTCGGATCACCTGCAGACACTGATGAAACTCAAGGCCTTGGCGACCTAGACGTCGCTTCCAGGCTCTCCTGTTTGTCCACATGGCTCTCCCAATCACCATCTTCACTTAATAGAGATGAAGAATTTTTCTCTCACAGGCTCACCAGTGACAGCTTTCTGAGTACTTCGTGTTCTACAAGCCTCTAACTCTAACTACACTTTTCCCCTTGTCAAAAAAAAAAAACCCTACACCTTTCTGATGTAGCCTGCTTTGTTTGACTGACTATGAATACTGACCAATCATTTTTTCTGCTTAGAGGAAAGTTAGTACATATGCTGAAGCAATAGCTCCTTAGTTGCTGCTGAAGAGTGAAGACCCCTCTCCCTCGGTCCCCCTCTTTCAACTAGATACTAATGGCGGAAATCGTAGCATCTGCGGTGGCTAGCGAGGCAGTGAGCAGGATATCCACACTTGTATCAGGCGACAAAACTGCAGAGTGCTGAGGACAAAGCCGAGAGACTGGAGATGGCAGTACTGAAGATCCAAAGCATCGTTGCCGTCTCAGAAGACCTCCAGATCACCCACCTCCCCTTGCTGCACTGGAAGGCCAAGCTGAAGCGCGTCGCCGTGGAAGGCGACAGCCTCTTACATGTGCACAAGAAGAAAACCTTGGAACGCAGCACCACAGGTACCTCCTCGTTTTCTCAGTACTTGATCCATGCGGCCAAACGGTTCGTTCCGTTCCTTGGCAGCAGAGAAGAAGCCGAGCACGCTGCAAAGGTTCGAGAGGCTTGCTGATGGCGCGGATAGCTTCTTCAGGCTGGTGGTTGAGTCCAGCGGTCGTCATCTGGAGCGGAGCGTGCCGTCCTCGCCATCGCTGACCCAATCTTTGCTTGCCGGCAACTCGGTGGAGTTCTGCCTCCAAAGACCCGGCACCGGCAGCAGCGACCTTGTGCTGCTGTGGCCATGGCTGGATCCGGACGCCGAGGACGAACTGCAGGCGTATCTCATGGTGGCGCGTGAGGATGAGGTGACGTGGCAGAGAAACCTGAAGATGGTCATCTCGTTCCGTCTGTCAGAGGCCGCAAACATACTGGCCATCGCCATGGGCTGCTTGGACCTCCTGCCTCCACAGTTTGGTGCCGCGTGGCTAGCCATCATGGGATTGCTGCATCAAACTTTAGCATCGTCGCAAAGCGATCGGTGGCGTTCAAATCTGTCAGCAAAGTCGATGTGGTGCCGCCGTATGATGCGGGATGGATTACCTCCGGTCTGATTGTGGCCCACCGAATACCCCTAATCTGGAATGCCCAAATTCCTGAATTATGGTGCTTCCTCAGCCAGTGATTCGAGTTACTACATTCTGCTATGCCTTGCCTAAAGCCATGGACAATAATAATGGCTTTCCTCTTAAGTTGGCGTGCCATGTGTCTCCCTACCTCTTGCCTGAGAAACATTCTAGCCAGTTTATGCAGGTTGAACAGAATGTGATCTTGGAGACGATGCTGCCCAAAGTTGAAGAAGGTTTCTATGATGACCAGAGACAAGCACCGGTAAAGTGCAAAAGGGAGATCTGGTGCCCTCAAAGCGCAATGTATTGCTCAGTTGCTCCAGAGATTACACAGCCAATGACCATGTCAAAAGCATACCTGATGGAAAATTCTACCGCCCCTATCAACAGGAAGAAGCGGAGGAGGAAATCCCACGCCATGTCAAAGTAATAAGTGACAGATCTCACCAAGTCATGCATCTCCAAACTCAGCAGTAAATTCTCTGTAGGCCTTTTAGACAACGAAGGTAGTAACATTGTCCCTATGCCGATGATCTCTATGTACTTATGTATAACATTTCACAGTACTTATGCAGAGGTTGTTTTACTCTGTTGGTTTTGTTCGTCGGTAGCACTGGCGTTTGGTGGTGGTGTTTCTTGTAATCTTTTTTGTTTTCCTCTTTTTTCTCATCTAGTAGAAGTCGTGGCAATTCTCTTGCCGTTCTTTCGACATTTTTTTTGGATGTGAGCCTTAAGAAAATATCTTACACTATAAGAGTTACTAGCAAACATGCCCGTGCGTTGCAACGGAATCCGATACATCTTAGAATCGCACATCATACTATTGTTGTATGCAAGTTGTTCTAACTCGTATGAGCACGGATCATGAGTTGGGGTCACATATGGAACAACTAAGACAATTAAGGCGTAAGAGCATGAAGGGTTGTCATATAGGATTTAGATTGGGTTTAATTTATTGATATGTGGATAACTCGAGCATCGATGTGAGTTTCTAGAAGCGATGGAAAAAAAATCACCTTTAATGTTACAAAAACAAAAAAAAGTCACAAAACCACAGGTACATAGATATACATTAAACTGAAAGAAAAAACATTTTATATTCCAATCATGGATTATTGTTTTTCTGTTTATACGAAAAACGGGAGACAAAAAAGAAGAAAAACAAAAAGTTAGGGAACTACAGGTATATAGATATAGATTAGATTGGACGATAATTTTTTTAAGATTTTAGTCATGCATTATTTTATTACATTAGAGAAGGATAAAGAATTTAAAGACCCATAATATATTTATTATTATTGTTTATAAAAAATATGGGAGAAAAAAGTGAAAGAAAAGTCACGTACACAACTGAACCGTGGGAGGAGGAAACGGAAAAAAAATGAAAAAGAAACCGGAAAAGGAAACGTTGACGGCAACGTTGTTTTCCAACTGTGGTTCAAGAAGGAAAACGGATACAATTTTTCAAAGTTGACGACCTAGACCGAACCAATTTCATAGTAAGTTGGACAAAAAATTATTAGTGACAGAAATTTTACCTTTTTATTATTAGGTATATATATAGATGAGTGTAAATAATACCAAGTTACTTTTTAGAAACGTGATGTGCTTTCATGGAAAACTCTTACACATGTGCTCGTATTTTTTTGGATTTATTCCATAATTTAACAGCATGATTCTTTCAGTAATAGGTAACGTATCTGTTGACAACGAGGTGCCTGTGGTAACTTTGTTAATCTTGAAATTTTCTAGTCAAACTCAATTTTTCAGAGATGCTCATAGAAAAATAAGATTTGTGTGTATGTATTTATAGGGATGAGTATATGAGCCGTGTATCTGTAGTGGGTCTAAAAAAATAAAAAGTGACGGATAGTAGTTTTTGCCAATCACTTTTTAAATTAAAGTAAAAAAGGGCGATGCATAGTTTGTACCTTGAATATCACTTTTAACTCTGTGGCAGTATTTGGGAACAATTTGTCTATTGCAATCTACTGAGGTAATAGTTCAAGAGGGGTTCAAGGTGAGACCAACCTTGAGGTCTTGATCTACCTGGTGACGACGCAAGACCTCAAGGCCTTTTAAGGGCATCACCAATGCAAGCCAACAAAGTTATTAGTTTCATCAAAAAAAAAACTCCGGTAGACATAAGCAAAAAGACATTGGACTTCTAACCTCCCAGCGCAGACCAACAGATTTTTAATCATGGTCCCCAGCTTTTTTGAGATAACGCACATGCAGACAGGATGGTCCCAAGATTATGTGTGTCAAGACACGTACCTCCTATTCGCTCTAGCACAATTAAGTGGGGGCTTCAGCTTTTCTTCAGACAGAGCACTCGCTGCTTCTGCAAGCAACTCTTGTTGCCTGCGAGACCACCACTCTGTGCAATGTGGAAGTAGCGTGCAAACATGCATGGAGGTTGAAACCACCTCCCACGCTGTAGCGTAGGGGCTGCTCTAAGTTGTAAGTAGATGTCCTCTCACAATGCACTCAAGCCTACCATAGTGTGGGATGCTCAGTGCTGGCTAGCACACATTAGCTTACATTCCACCGATGAACATATGGATATTGTGAAGACGACTAGAATTGTTGGGATGTTGATCAATATGAGCATACTAGATCACTGCTAGGATACGATCAGTGCAGTATTATCAGGATAACTAACCTCACTAGTGGAAACTAAGATTTCCCTGTCGGTGCGAAACCGACAGGAAAATGCAAAATACTGACAGAGAAAGGTATACCGACAGGAAAATGTAGTTTTGTGTTTTGAAGTGTACACTAATCGATAGACAACAGCACATATGTATATGGTGGAATCCAACAAGATAAAATGTTACCTTCCCTTTCTCCATTATAAACTTTCTGCATGATTCATCAGTAAGATAAAATCACATGTTGCATCATTATTCATTTTCTATCACTCATTTCCTGTTTAAAATTCTTTATTTGACCATGTATTCAATATGGGGATGTAGCTCAAATGGTAGAGCGCTCGCTTTGCATGCGAGAGGCACGGGGTTCGATCCCCCGCATCTCCATTTTTTGTCCCTTTCCACCCCTCAGCATTTTTGTTTCTATTTTTTTTACCCCTTTCCACCCCTCAACAAATTGCGTACAGTACAATCTTACTGACAACACAAGTGCTCCTGCGGCAGAGAATTTCTTCAGTTTTTCGTTCGGGCTATGGCTACCGTTTCTTTTTCTTTTTATCGTGGCCATTGGCTAAGTGAACAGCGACACCTCATCGCCCTGCTACCACCACAGCTCGAATGTACGAGACTCACATCAATCTCCAGCTCCCTCCACACCTCCAGATCGAATGCTGCCCGCGCACACACATTTCCCATGGCAGCGTCCACGGCCTCGCGCACCTTCATGTCCTTCCTCCACCGGCACCACCAGCAGCGCAGGAAAGCAGTCATCGTCGCCGCTGCGAGCACGCCCGAAGCCGAACCGACTCCAGCGACGGCGGCGGACGGTGCGGGACCAGGGAAGAAGAAGACGGTGGACACCAGGATACACTGGTCGAACCCTGACGAAGGGTGGGTAGGAGGCAACGCCAAGAAGGAAGGCGACGGCGGCCGCGGCGGCAGCAAGAACGAGCCGTTGGGAGGGAGGTTCGCCGACCTCATCAACAACGCGTCCGAGTCTCATTACCAGTTGAGTTCATTCCCAATCTCTGCATCCAAACTGAAACTTTGAACATAAATTTGTCCGACATCCCAATTCATCAGATTCTTGTCATCTGTCTTTTTTGAATCGTAGTTCCAATTTGCAAATTCAATCAGCCTTGTTATTGCCGTCCAGCTGTATATATCTTTGTTGGAATTAAGCACCAAACCTCTGTTCGAGATTACTGTCATCATCATGTCAATATGTTCCTAACGGCGACTCCTTGACAACTGCATAAATCAGTGGCTAAAAACATATAACACGACTTGTTATAACCCAACCAGGTTCCTGGGGATAGCGCCGGAGGCGGACATCGAGGAGATCAAGGCGGCGTACCGGCGGCTGTCCAAAGAGTACCACCCGGACACGACAACGCTGCCGCTCAAGGTGGCGTCGCACAAGTTCATCCGCCTGCGGGAGGTGTACAACGTGCTGAGCAAGGAGGAGACCCGGCGGTTCTACGACTGGACGCTGGCGCAGGAGGCCGAGAGCCGCCGCCTGCAGCAGCTCAGGTCCAGGCTCGAGGACCCCTACGAGCAGGACATCATCAACTACAAACCCGTGCCAGACATGGTTGACCGCCTCGGCGGCAAGAACATGAAGCTCAGCGACCAGGCCATGACTGCGCTCACCTTTGATATCGTCATCATCGTCATCTCCATCTGCAGCATCATCTATGCTGCGTTCTTCAAGGAGCAGTACTGATTGAACAGCGGCAAGGTTGCAGGAGTGTACCATAGAAGACAGTATAGGTTAATTAACCGATAATGTCCTAAGATTGTCTTTTCGGATGTTATGCAGTGCATCATGTGATGTCCAATAGAATAAGGTAGCGACGACAACTCATGGTATGGTGCCAACAAAAGGGGATCTGTGACATCATGGTTCCAGTATAAATCGTAGTTCCAGTATAAATCTGTGACATCATGGTTTATTGCATCAAAAGATACAAAATCTGGGAAAAAAAAAACAAAAGGGGGCAATATCGCCTAACAAGGTATCTGGTGCATTCTGTACTATATCTAGTTATCATTGGTTAAATAAGTGAGAAAAAAAACTGGAGGTAATCTCCCATGCCATACATGAAACTATAGCATGGGTTGTAGGTATCTAATGCTTAACCTTCACACTCGATGATCTTGACAACAGAAGAATCACCGATCTTTTCAAAGATTACCAACCTGTCGAAAGGCTTCACTATGCCGACTGACCGACCATAGCTCACCGCAAGTTTTATCCCATACTCTTCCTTTGTTAGCCCACCAGTTTCAGCCTATTGGAGATTAACCATGCATGGTTAGCCATATGTTTTGTTTAGCTCTAATGTTAGCAAAAAAAAAAAAAAATGCTTACATACCTCATCAGTACTCCCCATCAAAGGGTACACGCCTCTTACTGCGAAACATTGCCTTGCCTGAAAGTGATTTAATAATGGTTACACACAAGTTCGCTGATCCTGCTTCACGACAACCAGAAGACTGTGGAAGCATGAAACTCAACAGAATCAAAGACATATACAAGTTACCTGTGTTGTGCCATAAGAACGCCACTTTGATGGATCAGATCCTTCACGTGGGAAGATAACTGCTAAAACTGGCATTGTTGGCCTGTACTTAGAAATTAACCTGTGGACAGATAAGCATAAAATGAATTGATTGTTCTGTATGATGGAAATGTGTCTACTGACGTGCTGATCATGGAATAAAGTGGAGCACCTCGCAGCTCTCCCTGAGAATGTGAACACAACAATTGCAG